ATGGATGGATGGATGGATGGAGGATTGGATATTTACATATATGTAACATTTAAACTTAACATTTAGTAAAAATGAGCAAAACAGTGTGCTAAACACTCAGAAAGTGAGCAAGATAATGAAAATATGTTTCTTTTTAAATGTTTTTTAACATTTTATTTTAGACTTGGCGCCCCATCTGTCCATGTCAAGAAACTGTAATAGTACTTTTTGACATTTTTCACTGGACCCTGTATTTATTGATCGCCATGTAATGTATGGAAAATAATACGATTTCACTGCCACAGCTTTTACACTTCCTGTATTGACACACGTTCATTGCATATACCAGTAAATACCAGTGACACACATGTGACAACAAGGCCAAACTCGGTTATAAACAAGAAGCCAGAGGTGAACAATAGTCTCTAAGAAATCCAGCTTATAGATGTCTTGGGAACACCACACTGAGTTTGTTGACACTGTGTTAAACCTATTTAATACTCTGTTTATGCTACGTGCATACTACGTGTGTGTGGATGTACCTCTGTGGGAGAAGGACATCTAACATTCTTTCTGCAAAGCCACAAGTTATTGAGAAAACAAATGTCAGTTGAAGGGCGTTGTCTCTAGTGTCTGCGCTGAGAGTTAGTGTTTCCTCCTTTTCTTGGATCTAATCATATTTGATTATGAGTACGAGTGATAAAAAGGCACTGACACAGAATTAATTGGATAATGTGGGGAAAGTAAAAGTGACAAAACAGAGATGAGAGGGAGTGAAACAAAAATGAAGAGAAGCAGAAACTAAGTGGTTTAAGAATGCAGGGGAGAGAAAAGCATTCAAAAAGAAGAGAGGAGAGTTTCTTCCCAAAGGGRTTGAGACTCTGGATCAGTGCCCGGTATGCCACTGCACTGTCATCTGTGAGCCGCCTTTGAACATGTATGTGGGCCAGCATTTCCCATGATCCTCAGCTATTATCCCATCCCCGCTCCCAATGTGGCCTAGTGCTATCTCCTGACAATTACTTCTCCTGCTGCTTACTTTGACCAGTTGCTACTCCCCACCTTCTTCCTCCTGTCTATCCATCCGTTCTTCTTCCTCCCTGTAACCTCACACTCCTTGTCCTTCTCTTTTCTAAGCCAAAACGCAGCAAGTGACTAAGCTTCATAACTATGAAAACAGACAACAATGTTTTTTTTTTCTTTTTACTGTTTCAACACCCCCATCTGTTTGCCTAGGAGGTCAGTGAAAAGTTAAAAACCTAGCCTACATATTCCATTTTTGCATATTACCCACTACCTTTCATGAAATAATGTTTGTACATTATTTCTAAGATCATCTTATGCTTTGGTCAAACCTTGAAACTATTATGAGCAATCTCATGCAATATTACTGGATGGGTTAGTATTCAGTGTATGTGCTAAAATGACTGTCAGCTTCTACTACTTTAGTTTTTGCTCTGTAAACAGTCTCAGGTATAACTACTGTATTTTTTGTGTAGTTAATGATATGATCTTGCACAATCTGTTAGCACTCAGAAAATGTGTTGGGGATCACTCTGAGCAAGTGCTAGCCTGTGGCATAGGCAGTATAGGCAAATGCTTAAGGTGCTGTCCATCTAGGAGGTGCCACAAATAGGGGATGAAAAAAAATATTTTTTTATCAGAGTACAACTGATTTAGTGTATTAAATAACCACAGTTTACTCAGGTTTATGAAGGTAAACTGTTCTAGGGATTTCTCAGCCTTTGTTATGAGATGTTATATGGTGCATAKGATATTTTGAGATCAAACTATAATCTGATGCAATTAAAACTAACTATGGATGGTCAGTGTATAAATAGAAAACAAAATATGGTAGGTATAGTTATGCTCTTGGATAAAAGTCAGGGTAAAGTCTGGTTTTCACTGTTCTACCTTCATTAAATACTGATTTTATGTTGTTTTATTAATCCCAAGAATTTAATAAAATACTCTTCAAATGGTTTTGAAAATGAATGATTTTGAGAAGATCTTTAAAAGAACAACTCCACATACTTTAGATCCCCTAGAACTGCTTCACTCCACAGCT